AGAAAGACAGACAGTAGCAAGTGCAAGCGAGAACGCAGAGGACGACCCTGCGCACGTACGCGGCAGCCGTGGAAAGTCTGGCAGGTCTTCACACAGTTACACATAGGGTTGTCGTGACCCAGCAATTCCACTCCTAGGGAAATACTCAAAAGAAATGAACAGGTATGCAGAGAGAAACCTGTCCACACACGTCCACCGCAGTGTTGCTCACGTAGCCAAAACGTCCACCAATGACCGAAGCAAATGCAAAAACAAACTATAACTCGGTGGGCTGCTGTTCAGCCACAAAAAGGAATCGAGTCTGACACACGCTACAACACAGATGAGCCGTGGTGAAATCACGCTAAGGGACAGACAGGGACTTGAAAGCACGCAATGTTACACACATCCTCAAGAACTTACAGAAAAACAAGAACATACCCAGAAGAGAAATGGGAGGTACTATATTAAAAAAAAGAATCACCTGGCATGTGTAGGGACGAAAAACACATCATTTGAATCAAGACCCTCCGGGGTGGAACAGGAGTCAGGGCAGGCCAGACACCGCCAGCGGAAACAGCGGTGAACGCAAACAGCGGAACATTCGAACAAGCAGAGCGACAGACCAGAAGGGGACGCGTCACCAGCACCTGGGCACCCAGGGCAGTGGCGGGAGCTGCCCCCCACACACTGAGCAGAACCCGACACATGCGAGGCAGCACAAGTGCTTTGTGACACAGTGGCTAAAACTTTTCAAATGTGATGAAAACGTAAGCCCAGACCCAAAAAGTCCAATGAACCCGCAGCAAGATAAACACAGATAAGCACCCCAGAGCGTCAGGGGCGAACAGTACAAATCAGTGATACAGAGAAAACAGAGGGGCGAGAGAAGAGGCAACTGCATTCCGTGCAGAGGGGCAAATGCTGCCCTGTCCTGAGAAGCTGGGATCCAGAGGCCAAGGTGGCAGCACCCAACACGCAGAGAAAACCCAGCACCTCAGACCCCCTGGTTGGCAAGACAGCCTCCAACATGACGGCCACGAGGGGTCCATGGCTACGGACATGCCAGCTGGCCGTGACACCTAGAAAATCAGACAAATTCTAGGAACCCACTGTCTTCAGACACCAGCACAGAGCGGGGATGCCTGGGCACAGGGACAGATGGAGTGAGTGCTGTGGCCTGTCCAGCTCCAAGTCCAAACTTAGCCACATCCCATCTGACAGCCGCCTGCAGAAGGTCCTTGCCTCCTCTCGCCGGCAGCCGCTGCCCCAAACACCAGAGCACGGAGCTCGCAATGCAGGAAGGAAGGCCGCCCAAGAACGCAGTGCCCGAGGCCTTCCGACTTTCCCACCTGTGGCCGCCGGCTCCCAGGTGGGTTGTGAGGGACAGAGCAGCCATGGGGCGGCAGCCAACAGGACCAGAGCAGCCCGGCACCTGTGCAGCACAGACACGTGCAAGTCATCCCACAGCCACTGGTGCAAGGCTGCCTGACATGCAGGCCAGATGATGCGGGAGACCGCCGTCTACG